AATTTTCTAAGTTTTATTTTTAATCGAAATATCGATTACAGTGTAATATATTAAAAAAATTTGTGATATATTGTGTTTTAGTGAAAAATGTATAGTTTTTGCACATATCTCATGTAAACGGTTCATATAAATGATAAAAATAATAAAAGTGTTAAAAGAAATCTATTTTCTAATACTTTTTTTCTAATTAGTTAGCGCTAATCAAAGGTCCAATTTAGAAAGTCAAGTTGAACCTGCGCTTTATTATCGTAAAAAATAGTTTATGTTTAAAATGCGGACACATAAACAATGTAAGCGTCATAGATTATCAAACTTACTGACGAGAGGACCACGCGAATTGTCATATCGCTTTTTCAGCCAAACCTAGTGAGTTATAGGTTATCAACTATGCTGAATCCGAATATCATAGCTGTCCACTGGCTTTCAGAAAGTGGTTTTCTGAAAAATCAGTTTTTCAGAAACTCTAAAAAGTAACCTAAACTATTCTTAATGAGACATAATTGTAGTTCGCAGATTTCGGATTAAAATGAGACATCTCCCAGCTCTACGCGCTATAAAAACAAAAGTTTCTAACTTCTGTGCAGAACTAACGAGGGATGTCTATCTATTCGTCCACTGCAATGCAGAGTCTTTCGGTCTCAATGCATATTTCTGATTAGCGATTTATCCTCTTTTCTAGCAATGAACGTTTGATTATGTACATAAGAAATCTTCATTTTTTTTTAAATTTATTTCTAGAAAATCCAACTGACTGATGAACGCCGTAAAATACAACAAGAAGTTGATGAAGTTGTCATAAAAGCCGTCAAAGCACATGCCGATGGAAGATTATTACGTCGTTATTTGAAAACAGGATTTCAGTTATGGAATAAAGTATTACCACACAAATTGAAATTTTAATTTATTGAAGAAATACCGTGGAAAGAGAGAGAAAATACAAAAAAAAAATAAGAAATCTTGTTTTATTTGTTATCTTTGTATTTTTTTGTTGTTTTTTTTATAAGAAAAAAAAAAAACAATAAAATGAAAATAACGTTGAAGAACGAAATACATAAATGAAACAAATATTTCTTCTTTCGTAACAAAAATATTGATGAGAGTGTATTGTCTAAATTGAAAAATGCAAAGTACTTAACTTTTGTGGATTCGTCATTAAACAATGTAAAAAAATTATATATAATTTTCGAACTGCTAGCCTGTAGAGCACATCAGGTCACATATATATTCTGCAATTCATAAA